CGGCGAGCGGAGGCATGTTCCACGCGGATCCTGTCCACCGTGCCCTAGCGGCCTGTATGAGAGGAGGACGTTGGAGAAGAAAAAGGAGCTCAAGGACCTGTACGTAACCGCTCTGCCTTAGCGCCTCTGCTGCCGACCTTGGGCCCCGCGGAGCCCACAGTACTGGCGAAAGCAGCTCCGGGTCGCTGGTCCCCGCGCTCCTGGGCCTGTGGTCCGCTCTGGGTGTGTCCCGAGCCACCACCCCTTCCTCCAACCTTCTGGCGGAGTGAATCCACGAGGTCTTATCCTGCTAGCTTCTGATTCCGCCGGCTGCAAGGCCTCCGCTTTTTTCTTCTTGAAAACACACTTTAATAATTTAAAAGCCAGAGGAGGAGGGGCAAAACCGCACCAAATGGCAGATAGAAGGGGAACTGAATATGCGTGGAAATAAAGATCATACGTAGTTCTTTTTTTTTCTTTAACTCTGGGTTGCATGTTGTTATATATCATTTTGGCCATTCTGTCATTGAATTCTTATACTGTGGCAAGATATTCAAAGCGCAGCTTTTATACTGCAAGGACTTTCCACCCTATGAAATGTAACACCCCCCCCCAAAACCAGTTCTCCTTAAAGAACTGGAGGATTTCTGACTTAAGTATATTTCAAAAAACTGTTGCAGTACAGCATACAGAAACCTAAGACAAACAAAGATTACTTGTAGCCGCAAGCATTTATTAAATGCTTTGCTACAAGGTAGAGGTCATGTCTTAAAGACTGTGTTTGTATTGCTTTTGAACATCCTAGGCTCGTATTGGACCTAAAAGAAAAATAATTTCTCTGAAGAAAACAGCTACAAAGAACCATAGTACTAGCCAGTACTATGAGCATCTACTTCTATCTTCCACTTTGACAGAAAGCAAAACCTTCACCATTTGTTTTTCTTTGCTGACACACAGACAAAATACTAGAAGGCACTTTGGACTTCCATCTTTCATGTACGATCTATTAACAGCCTGTCTATTGTGCTTTTGCCATATTTTCTAAATTCTTGTATTCCCCATGAGCTGTACAGTTAACCTACTAAATGGCCTCCAGTTTTGCCTTTCTCCAATCTTTTCTGACTGAATTTCTCCATCACAGATAAACTCAAATTAGTCACCTACTCAAAAATCTCCAATAAAGTGTTTAGGACACCCTATTCAATCTATCCCCAAATTCTTTCTAATCATACTCCTTAATAATCCCTCTCCCCTTGTACGTTCACATTTACTGTACACTGAGGCAAATGTAAAGAAAAATATAGTCTTGTTCAGATAAGGCATGTACCATAAAAAAAGAAACCAATGCAAGGATGTATGAATAACAGTGAAAGACAATATGAAAGCCAGCACAGGCAGCATGGCATGGTCAAGGAAGTGAAAAAGAAAACATAATCTTGTGGGAGAAGTGAGCAATGCTAATAATGCCTTTTATATTAATCCTTTACACTTCTATATTACTTCACAGTTTTGAGAGAGTAACATAAGTGTGCTTTTATATGCTTCATTCCATTTCATTATGTTTTTAGTTAAAACTTTTATATTATTAGGGCAAGGTGGGCATTGTTCCCATTAAGAACAAAAATTAAGCGCAGGAATGTTAAATGAGTTACCCAAAATACACACCAAGTATTGATTTCCTTACCTTCCCTAAAGCACTGCCACCCTTCCCTCTGTCAATAATTATTCAGTTTAATCATTACCAGGCTATTAGTAATTCTCAGAGATTTTGAAGGCAAAAGGCAGAGTAAAAATTCTCAAGGTGGAATAGTCAGCTCAAAAACTTTAGTACAAATAATGTTATTGTCAAATAGTACAAACAAACTTTACCATATAGCTTTTAAATTTTAACGTTTTCCATTTTGGGCTTGTTTTTGATAAATTTGTATATGCCTGCAGAAATCATCAATTTATGGTCCCAATTTAAAACAAAACTAATGTCAAAAAACACCACTAGTACCCTAACATACCCAAAAGAAATTTGATGCAGAGGCTAACTGAAGAAAATGAACATTCTAGTAATTATAGTTCTTACCTTCAGTCTAACTTAAGAACAATGAATGAGAAGGGGCTAGAGGTGTGGCACTATGTAGAGCACTTGTCTGGCATGCATGAGGCCCTGGGTTCAGTCCCCACCACTGCAAAAAAAAAAAATGCGAAGGACAACAAAAAGGTAATTACTGCAGTGAGGAATGAACAGCGAAAGCAGATTAGTAAAATGTTATTTCTGTTTTTAAAAAGTCAAAAGTAAGGGATGGTTTAAAAGTTAATAACTCTTAAAATTTTGTTAAAAGAAATATTAACTTCATAATATTACACACCCATACCCCATTCCCCAACCAACTCTATGGGTTTCAGAGGAAAAAAGGGGAATTTAGAAACTAAAGGAAATACTGGAGAAAGGTAGAGTACAAGACATGAGAGAATGGACTATATGAAAACTTAGGAAGGAACTGGGCATGGTACCCACCTGTAATACCAGCTACTACAGGCTGAGGTAGGAGGAGGATTGCAAGTATAAGGTTAGCCTGGGCAGTTTAGCAAGACCTCCTTTCAAGAAATAAAGAGGGCTGGGTATGTAGCTCAGTGATAGAGCGCCCCTGGGTTCAATCCCCAGTACTGCCAGAAAAAAGAAAAGAACAACAATAAGGAGCAGGCCAGGAGTGGGTCGGAGAGGAAGGAGGAGAAGAAAAAGAAAAACAAAACTTAGAAACTAGGAGAAAGCACAGGAGTGGGTAACACAGTATGTACACCAGAGGGAAATTTAAGGATCATCTGGTTAATCCACCCCCTTTATTGGACAAGTAGAAACACTGAGTGCCAGGAAAACCCCCATGTCTTGACTCCTAAGATGTTTGTTCCAGGGCTCCAAGTTCTATATTCTATTGGGTTGGATCAGATTTATGAGTTAAAACACCAGTTATTTTATTAATTGTAAACTCCCTTCTTGTTTTCCTTAACACCCAATCTGTGTACTCTTTTTGTAAGTCTGCTGTTTTATTCTAATTTTGATTGACACATAGTAAGTGTACATTTTAATGAGGTACAAAGTGATGTTTTGATTAATACATACATTGAGAAATGATGAAATCAGGGTAATTAGCACATCCACCACCTTAAACTTTTTTTAATCAGTTTTCTTTTTTATGGTGAGTATATTCAAAGTTCTCCTCCTAGCCATTTTGAGATATGCAACGCATTAATTAGTGTTAGCTATCACTCTTCTGTGCCATAGAACACTACAACTTGTGCTTCCTTTCTTACATTTTACTCATTCACCAATCTCTCCTAATCTCCCCCTTCCCATTAAGTCTGCTTTTAAATGTTTAGTTTTCTTTTACTCTGAAGAACCACTAGCCTCAATGATGTGTAATCTATTTATGTTCACTTCACAGAATTGTTTTTCATCTCCATTACTGGATGTTCCTATGGCTATACCTGTAAGCTCAGAACAACCACAGTCTTCCTCTGAGTAGATTTGTGTGTTCCAGGCAGTTGGCCTGACCTTATTACACCATCCTCCCAAGTATTGGTAGCTTCATGTTGTTAAGTGAAACATAAGGCTTAATGTGGTCAAAGAGGACCAGGAACATGAGGGCACATCTCTGCTGTTTTCAGGAAATGTTGTACAGGAAATGCTTACTTAAGGAATAAGTGAAGAAGGTGAATTGTTAAAAAAAAAAAAATGCAAATCTTCTTTGCTTGGCTGGGCAGAGAAATGTTTTTAATGGAATCTTTGTGTGAATCAGCTAATCCCTGGCTAAGCAAATGTGTATAATAATAATATTATAAATAGCAGCTGTTAGCCAGTACTTGCTACCCATCAAGCATTTTCATACCTTTTTAGCCCTCATAACAGTCTTATGTGTATATATTACTACTCCATTTTATAACTTGGACTCAAACAGATTATGAACTTGATTAACAATTTATCCAACTCAGACGGTGAACTATGATTTGTGTTCATCATTTTAATCAAAGACACTGTGCTCTTACAGAACTAACAGTATTTTGTCTCTTGAGTAAAGTTGAGTCAGAACACATACACATGGCCTTGAAGCATATAATTTGATAAATCTCCCACAGATTTTTCCCTGACCCAAGAATTTTGACCAGGAGTAGAAGTGATATCAAGACAAAGAAGTAGTTAGCCAATGGCATGAAAAACCCAGGGACCTTCCAATTTTGCCTCCCAGATTAAATATATAGTGTTCAATAGTCTCTTCTCATATCTGCCTTAGCTATTTGGAATTCAAGTATTTTATCTTCATCATTTCACTCCTCTTCTGATGAATGTACATAACTGATATGATCTGGTGCAGCCTGGATCCACCTGCCCAGTATGGTGGCTAGAACCCAGGGTACATTCAATAAATACTGCTTTGAATGAATGAATGAACTAATGAACATTTTTTTCTGCAATAATAAGTATATCCGACATTGTGAAGGACAGGCTTTATGTCAAACCCTTCATATGCATTATTTCATGTTTGTGACAAGGCTACAGGTAAATGCTTGACGCTTGAGCTTAGATTAAGTAACCCACCTATCATGGAATCAAAATCAGATATAGTTTCAGACCCAATTTTCTTGGCCACTATACAATATTCCTGCTGTCTTCATCATTAATAATCACTGCTTTTATGCATTTAGCAATTTGTCATGTTCCTGCCATGGTGCATAGTATTTTTTATTATTGTATGAATTTAACCTCCAAAAAAATGCATTTACTATCCATTAGTAGGTATTATTTATTTCTTCTATCTCCCACCACTTTGTGACCATAGACAAATTATTTCGTCTCTGAAACTCAGTTTTTCACCTATAAAACAAGGATGATCAGAAGTCACAGGGTTTCTATGACAATTCTAGAAACTATGTAAATTATCTAGTATAGTGCTTGTATGTGCTGGAAACAAAATACACATGCCCTACCCTAAGTCCCCTTTGCATGAATTCAGTTTACTTCATACAATACTATTTTGAGAAAAAAAAAATTGCAAGGCAGTATCTTAGAAATATTATACAGCCAGACCCTAAACAAAGTGCCTCAGATCTCTTTTCAGCCCAAGCTATCCGCTCTCTTACAGAATAGGCACAAGTTAAAGGATGATTCCAACAGTCCATATATTTGGCAGTATATTTTTCTAATCCAAGATCAACACACATGGTTTAAGAAATAGGTTTTGGTTTTTCAAAATTGAAGTATTATACAGTAAAGTGTCTAATCTCAAGTATACACTAGAAGATTACACAAGGATACACCCCTGTAACCCCACCCAGGTCAAGATATGGAATGTTTCCATATCTTCCCCCTAAAATCATAGTGATTTAAAATCAACAAAGATCATCTAAAACCAGAACTGAAAACCGGAAAACAAATAAAGAACTTCGAAACCTGGGCAACGGGATGGTTGGATTTGGAAAAGGGTATTAGGTAAGAGTAAGACAAACCCCACGTTGGTCTTCTTTTGAAAAGTGGATGTAGGGAGCTTCTATGCATTCACGTTCATTTTGTCCATTGAGCCTCACAATAATTCTGCGATATAGTCAAGACTTAATCCTTTTGAGCATCGTGAGAAAACGAACTTGTTCAGGGTTGCCGAGAATACCGTCACCCCAAGCAGAAGAAAGAATATGCTTAGCAAATCCAAGCCACGTGGCAGAGGGACGGAAGAGCCTGGCATCAGGTTACCAGGCAGCTTCGCTCCACCGAGGGTATAAAGACTCAGACCAGCTGTCCTTGAACACGGGTGCTGAACTCCGCCGCGGGAGCTTTGAATTTCTCTGAGGCTACCTTGCAGGAACCATCTGACCCTGAACTCCAGGTACATAAGGGGGACCCAGCGGCGTGCTTAATTCCACTAGGGGACGGGGAAGCGGTTTCCTGAGGATTTGGGCTTTTAAAAGAGGAGAACGGACTACAGTTTCCTGAAGGGGATGAAAACTGTATTAATTATAGCTGATGATTGGAGTGCAATAGTTCCTTAAGGATTCAGGAAACGAATGTACAGAGCAAAGCACCTCTTGGCACCGAGGACAGAGCGACGAAAGTTAGAAGCTAACATTTTTGAGAATTTCTGTCTTGCGTTAGGCAACAGCAGAGGAAAAATAAAGCAACAAGCTCCTTAAGTGTATTTGACAACCGATTTGAGATGGGACAGGGAAAATGATTGTTTTTCAATCAATCACTGAAAAATAGTTTGCATTAGGGAGAGAGATGAAATTTGTCTTGTGTGGCGGGAGGCTGGGCAAAACACCCTAAAGTAGAAAAACCGCAACAGAAATTGCGGGACTCTGCTGGGCTCGCTGTCAATTGATGTGCATTTGTGCTTGCAGGTTATCTCTAGCACAGGGTCAAGGGGATAGGCACCTGCCACCAGATGTGGTGTCTGGAGAGGCTACTGCGCAGCAGGGAGGGGCTTCTCCTGAGTAGGTCCCGGCGTGCCAGGGCCCGCTCGCCCACCGCTTGTGCCAACGTGCTCACTCCCGACCGTATCCCGGAGTTCTGCATCCCACCAAGACTTGCGCCCAACCTGGCCTTGGCTACACTCCAGAATTCTTGGGGTGAAGATACAGCGATTGACGAGGGCGCTGGCCTCACGGACTGGGACCCGCGCTCACAGGCCGCGCTCTCGCTGCCTCACTTGCCCCGCGCGCTCACCGCCTACGGCTTCTGCACGCTACTGGAGAGCCCGCACACGCGCCGCAAGGAGTCGCTCTTTCTGGGGGATCTCGGAGCCGCGGAGCTCCAGCGGCAGCTCGCCGCCCAGCCAGTGCCCCGACCCAAGGCGCACACCTACGGCCGCGACGAAGGAAGAGACGTCCCCGGCTTGTTCCTGCGAGCCCAGGACGTAGCTCCCGCCGCGGCACCTGTCTGTCCTTGTCCGCCCCGGGACGCTATCTGCCCGAGGCCCTGCGGTCGCCGCCTCCTGCAAGCACCCAACATGCTGCTGAGCCGTGCGTTAAAGGCTCGGAGGAGTCGGGGCTTGGCTCGCGCCCGCTCAGTCTCCAACCGGAACGAAGAGGAGGAGGGCGGCGCCACCTCTCAGTCCACAGCTCTGGCCCCGGTGTGCCAGTTGCCGGCTCCGGGCCCACGGCCCAAGCTCCTGGAGGCCGAGGGCAATGTGGCTCTGGACTGCGCTGGCTGCGTCCTGCGCCTGGCAGCCGAGTACTGCCTGGATAGTGGGCGCCTCCGCATCAGGCTGCTGCGTGCCGAAGGCCTGGCGGGAGGTACCCCCGAGCCACGTGCGGTTGGTTGCCGCATCAGCCTAATCCTGCAGCCGCTGGGCGCCACGCTCAAGCAGAGCAGCTCGGTGCTGCGACGGAGCGGCAAGTTCTCCATAGACCAGGACTTCTGCTTTGAAGGGCTCACGGAAGACCAAGTGCGCCGCCTGACAGTGCGCGTCAAGGCGGAGAACAAGGGCCGTGGCCTGCAGCGGAGCCGCTTGCTTGGCCAGGGCGAGCTGCTGCTGGGCTCCCTCCTGCTCTTCTGAGCCCCTCCCTCGTGCGAGTTTGTCATGCTGGGGACTCTTGGACACTGACAGCAGCCTTGTACAAAATAAATGTGTATCTGTTTTTCTAATTAGGCCTTCGTTTCAGTCCACTATTGTCAGAGATGATATTGGATTGACTTTCACAGTAAAGGAAGTTATTTTTTTGGTGTAGTTTGATGTCTTGATAATTCTTTTCACCAAATGGAATGATGTTCTTCACTTTCCTAATGATATAGCCCAATTGCATCTCCTAAATACCACACACTTCTGTTGGGAAGTGCCGTGTTAGGTTTTTCTCATTTTAAAATTTGTTCATTTCACTACATCCATTGAGACCATCTTATGGATGTAGTGAAATGAACAAATTTACTAAACAGTTCTAAAGCACTGTTTAAAACCCTGGATATGAAAATGAAGTCAAGAAAGATAAAATGGTGTTTCCATGGTTAACAGTGAATTGCCTGGAACACCAATCTGATACACTTACCTACCCAGCTTGCTGGAGAAAATGAAACCATTTTAATATTCTAAGTTTAAGTAATAATCATAATAGTTTTACAAGCATTAACTTACTTAATTCCTGAAGAAAAAAACTCTAAATAGTAGGTACTGCTATCCCCATTTTACAGATGAGGATATTAAGGCATAGAATGAAGAACAGAGTCAGGGTTTGAAGTTAGACTTTCAGTATCTCATCCATTACTCTCATATAAGTAACACCATAGTATCTAAAGTGCTGATCTCCTTAAAGAGGGGATTCAGCAACCTATCTAAGATTGCTGACTCTGAGGTTGGTGTCTCCTCACATTCCTCATCCTCTTCTGGAAAAGTAAATTAGTTGAAATGGGTCATTAATTAATTCATGCATTAAACATTAAGCACTGAAATGGGCTGGTATGCCTGAGGCTTTGAAGAGAATTGGACTCATAACCACAAAAAACTGGTGCCTCTCTTACTGGCTGGCACCAGCTGAACTAATCTGCCAGAACAAACAGTCTGGAGTGGATGTATAACAGTGTTCTACCTCTGGCTTCTGATAATAATAGATTTACTATGTTTTAAAGGATGCTTTATTCTTCATACTTCATATTCATCAAGCATATTTATTCCTCTCTGATGCATATAAGAGGAAAATGTATTCTAAATGAGAGTTGAAAACATTAAAATATGTGGTGTGGTGTTAACTATCACTACATTATCATTCTGGATTCAGAAATGGTTTCTGTTTTTGTCAAATTTATTGACAGTTTTAACCACCAGTGCTCATGAAAAATGCTAAAAAGATCCTCAGTTTCAATCACAACTCAAGTATAAACCAAAGGTGAATTATGGTGATAGTTATTTACAAGATGATTATTGAACCATCAGGTATAACTGTGAATTCATTGACTATCAAACTCAATCACATCCAGAAGCTTGCAGTCATTGGCCAAATGAGTGATGACATCCTAGTAATTCACATCTAATTTGTGCTCTTTTACCTACTCAAAGCCACTATTTACTTGACCTTTAGGCCAATAGTTATTTTTTAAATGTATAATTTTCTTCATGACTTTAGAATTTGGATAGGGTAACTAATACTGAGATCACATATATCATGCTCTAAAACCATTTATCTATGTGTAAGTTGTGGGGTTTTCTTTATCTTTTTGTTAAATTTTTTAAAAGATTGAATTGATTATTTAAATAGCAAACCATTATTCTAGAAAATGGTACAATCACTATTGTCACTAGACGATACGTATATATGTCATTTTATTAAGCAGATTTCTCCAAGCAGGTGAATCAACACATTTCATGAATCTAAAATTTCCATAAAACAATAGTGGTGATTTCCAAACCGAATCGCCATTAATGCCAAGTTATGTCAGGTCAAATTGTCCAATCCAAAATATTTTTAAAAGATTGAAGTAGAATAATAGATCATAAAATCATGGAATTTCAGAGTTGAAAATAGCGTTAAGAATAATTTTGTGCAAATATATAATAAAAGTATATCAAGATGGCATATTTTTTATTGCCCCAAGTCACACAATAACTAAAAGAGCTGGAACCAGAACCAATTCTAGTCTCATTGTTTTTAAAATCATTGGATATGGACCACAACTTCCAAGAAAAGAGAAGCATTTGTGGATAAGTCTTTCCATTAGTGAATTAATTTGAATTGTTTTTATTTAAGAAATCTTATTTATAACACCAATGTTTTATAAGAACACCAACCTTTCTGGGGGCAAATTTGATTTACACTTGCTGCCCTCTAGTGGAACCCTCACGAATTTTGTCAGTGGCTCTATGGCCTTAAAGCATCTCAACTGAGAAGATGTGGAAAAACTTTCCTACTATACCCAGGGCATTTGTTCCAGAAGCCCACAGACACCAAAATCCATAGATGCTTAAGTTCACCCCAAATACATTGTCATCTGTATATCTTATAATACTTAACAAATTGTAAATGATGTATAAATAGTTACTATATTGTAATGTTTAGGTAATAGTGGTGAGGAAAAACGTATGTACCTGTTTAGCACAGACATAATTTTTAAAAAGTGCTTTCAATCACAGTGGGCTGAATGTGAAACCCACAGATAGGGAGGACCAACTATTATAATAAAGCTGGGAATGTGTGCCAATGGCATGTTGATTCCTGAAGACTGTTTTAAGAGTTCTCTTTTTTCTCATTAGGTTTTAGTACCCACATCTCCACAAATGATATGGCATAATCTTGCCTCTTTGTAGTTTAAATGTCAGAATATATTTAAAGAAAACCCCTACATAACAACTAGGGAATATGTCAATTGAAATAGCATTAGTTGAGTAAAATAATATAATAAAATCACTGCGTTGTCACTTGGTTTCACAAAGACAACACATTCTACACATAAAATATTAGTTTCAATATGACTGAAACTTTCCTAGAAGATTATTTCTTTGGACCTAATTTTCTTATGTGGACACTTCAACAATTTCACAAACATTCACCACAGGATACTATTTTTGGTTAAAGATATTTGGTAAACAAAGCAAAAAGTGGATACTATGTGATCCCTATGATCTTGCTTTAGCACAAGAAAAATAAGTGGATAAAAAGCCATTCAAAAGCTTCCTTTACAACATGCATTGTGGACCAACACTGCTTGAGATTCAAGATTCTAGATATAAATATCCCTGCTCTTTTGGTATTAAGTTTTGAAGGCAAAAGAGGAAGAAGACAGTAAGCAACTGAGTAATTTTTCAAAAATAAAATGAAAAAAATGTAGCTAGGGTGAGGGGGCACCTTAGACTGGGAGGGAAGACAGGCCTGCATGAAGATTGCACACTAAGCCTCTTCTCCAGGTTCATTTACATTTTGCTGTTATATTTTAATCCAGTGTGCTGATCCAGGGTTCTCCCAGGTCACCTGATAAGTGTTTTCCTAGGAAGGCTTCTAGTAACTTAGCACTAATGGAAAGTACTCCCTGTTGTGGGTTTTGGCCTTGGTATATTAGATGCTCTTCTGCCTCCATACTTGTGAGTTCAACAGATGATATAAACCCAAGGCATCCTCTGGTGTTTATAAACCCAGTTTTTGTCATTTTGTACATGAGCATAGCAATGTCTTTATTATCCTTCTGAGGCGTTAGTGGGCAAATAACACTACAATATTTTCTTTTCTTTTTTCTTTTGAATTTTATGGGTTTGATAGCAAACTTTTATTCTTTATAGCTTCTTTTTTTAAGCAGTTAAGAGATTTTATTAGCAAACAATAAGCTGTAAGGGTACAATGTGGACACAACAAAGACATCTGCCCCCAGACTCAGAAGGGGTCTGAGTTTATATGCACTCTGAGTCCTTTGTCCAGGAGTAGTTCACACTAAGCAAGGAATGATTGACAGATTCCTGTGTCTTGCCCATTATGCTTATTGCACATGTACCAAATACTTGTTCCCAGGTTTTATTTTATTTTTTTATTTTTAATTTGTTATATATATATGACAACAGAATGCATTAAAATTCATATTACACACATAGAGTACAATTTTTCATATCTCTAATTGTACATAAGGTGGAGTCACATCCTTCATGTCTTCATACAGGTACTTAGGGTAATGATGACCATCAAATTCTACCATCTCTCCTATCCCTATGCCTCCTACCTTCTCCTCCCTCCACTTTTCCCCTTTGCCCTATCTAGAGTTCATTTAATCCTCCCATTCCCCTGCCCCCCCCCACTGCAGCATATTATAGATCTGCATCCTTAAATCAGAGAAATTATTCAGCATTTGGGTTTTTGGAATTGGCTTACTTCACTTAACATTATATTCTCCAGCTCTATCAATTTACCTGCAGATTACCATGATTTTATTCTCTTTTAATGTTGAATAATATTCTATTGTATATATATACCACATTTTCTTTATTCATTCATCTACTAAAGGGCATCTTGGTTGGTTCCACAGTTTAGCTATTGTGAATTGTGCTGCTATAAACATTGATATGGCTGTGTCTCTGTAGTATGCTGTTTTTAAGTCCTTTGGTTATAAATGGAGGAGAGGAATAGCTGGGTCAAATGGTGGTTCTATTCCAAGTTTTCCAAGGATTTCCATACTGCTTTCCATATTGGCTGCACCAATCTGCAGTCCCACCAGCAATTTATGAGTGTGCCTTTTCCTCCTCACCAACACTTACTGTTGTTTATATTCTTGATAGCTGCCATTCTGACTGGAGTGAGATGAAATCTTAGAGTAGTTTTGATTTGCATTTCTCTAATTGCTAGAGATGTTGAACATTTTTTCATATGTTGTCAAATGATTGTATATCTTCTGAGAAGTGTCTGTTCAGTTCCTTGGCCCATTTATTAAATGGGTTTTTTGTTTTATTCGTGTCAAGATTTTTGAGTTCTTTATATATACTAGAGATTAGAGCTCTATCTGACATGTGTGTGGTGATATTTTTTTCCCAATTAGTAGAATCTCTCTCACTGACTGTTTCTTTTGCTGAGAAGAAGCTTTTTAGTTTGAATCCATCCCATTTATTGATTCTTGATTTTAATTCTTGCACTGTAGAATTAAGATCAAGAATCTCCTTTATAGCTTCTTAAATACCATCTAGGCTAGTTAATATCATTGTACCTGGGACAGATGTTGTAGCTTGGTTCCTTCAACCCCTAGTCCAAGCAGTCAACACCCAAGAAGTTTGCTGATGATGTCTTTTTAACCTCTCCCTCTTTCTATTGAAATATACAAGTTGCTTAAACTTTGAACAGGGGATTGCTGAGTTGATGTAGGAGCAAATGAAGATTTGGGTTCTATTGGAATTGAATGGTTGTACTTTGCATGTGAGAAAAACAGGAATTTGAGGGTGTGGGGATGGAATAAATTGGACTAAATGTGTCCACCCCCAAACTTGCATGTCAAAATTCAGTCCTAAGATGATGATTTTGGGAGGTGGGCCTTTGGGAGGTAATTAGGCAGAGCTCTCGCAAAAACAATTAGCACCCTGTGAAAGATACCCTGAGGGATCCCTCACCCCATCCTTTTGAGTTCCTGGCGACTTATACACTCAACCCTGCCCACCCAGGGACTCCACTTATCCCGTTGCACGTGACTAAAACACTCAGGGGTCACTCCAGGGGAACTGGGCTGTATAAAATAACCACACAAGAGACAGAAATGCCTTGTCTTTGGAAGTACTGTGACCACTCCTCTGACCTTAAGGGTCTGAAGAGAGAGAGAGAGAGAGAGAGAGAGAGCCCATGCTGACCCCTTTTATTGAGGAGAAGCCATTCAAATGAGGCAAGGGGTTAGGTTTCAAGGGGCTGAGTCTAGCTTCATGATGTCTGTTGTCTGCAGATTGACTGACATCTAGGAAGGCCATACCCAAGGGCACAGTAAGAGAAGGGGACACACAAGGGCATTTCCATGGAACATTCTATCCCAAACAAGGTAAGGGGTTATATCACAAAGGATCAGGTAAGCGTAGCTCAATCCCTGGGGATGTAGGAAGGCATGCCCATGCACGAAGACACATTTGAATTTTCTCTACTCTCAAGATCGGGCTAATGTCTTCGGTTACTTAAAAGCAACCAGATCACAGGGTGACGGGACAGTGCCCCAGCCAACCATGAGAGGAAGCAAACGCTGGTCACATGCTATGTCAGCCTTCCACACCCTCCAAAACGTGACTTTACAGTGAGAAGGGCACTGACTGGGAGGCACGGGGCCC